TCGCATGTGATTAACAGTGATCCAAATCATGAAAGACAATGGTAAGACCCTTTATATAAGAAAAACGAAAATTAAATGTACTAACCTTAAAGTTTTCAAACGATTTATAGTACTTTGGTGGGAAGGAAAGTGGCGTAAGTCTTTTGTTTAAAAATAAAAAAATATATCGCCAGACTGAGAGTAAATGACTATTTTTTTTAATACAGACAAGCACCCGAACACATAAAAGAGAAGTTCAGAGCTAATTTTGCAACATGGAAGTAAGTTTCTTTTTTATTTGAATATCTGAATCATTAATGAAATTGTTCTATATACAGTAACATGCCCCTAGCACTTAAAAAAAGCCTCCGGGAAGCACTGAACATGGATGGAAGCAGTAGCAGTAAGGCCAAAAATAAAAAAAAGAAGTAAACATCTAAATTGACAATTATGTTAAATGCTGATTTGAAATGTTGTTCATTCAAAATTGGAAAATTTCACAATTCTGTAAAATGAAAAGAATAAAGGTTCATACAAATATAGGATGATTCATTTCTGAAAATACAAGTGTAGTTCTTTTTATATTGAGATGGATAGTAATGAAAATGAAGGAAACTAAAATATTCAAATAGTTTTACTTCAAAGTTCAGTCATTTTTCCACGTGGGAGAAAATAAATAAGAATGCGATACATGTGTCCCAAAACGTATTATCACCAAGTCTAACACTATTATGTACCTAGTTGAACATTCCATATTCTGCTTAACACTTGCTGAAAATTTACAAGTGTCGACAGTATATTATATTATATTTTTTTCAAACAGCTCACATATAAAAGCAAAATTGTCTTTGTTTGTATTTTCATTCAAATTTATTAATCGCACTTTTAAAGGATAATAATTATAACTAAGATTAATTAAAATTATAATAGAAATAAATGTCGAACAATTCATTTTTTTAATTTCTGATATTAATTTTGTGTCGAAATTAAATGATAGATAATTTTTCTGTGTACTTTGTGATTAAAAACTTAATATTGATATCAGAAATTTTGTGTTTCACATTTTGGTTTCGTCCCTCCCTCTTCCCCTCGTGAGGTTTTGTATTTGATTTGAGTTTTGAAAAATTTACAGTAGATACCGAAAAATTCAGTATAATAAACAGCAGTGTTGTTTGGTTAAGATATCTGAAATGTATCTAGATACTTTTGAGATAGTATCTCAATTTTCCGAAATTCATCTAGATATTTTCAAGATTTTCAAGATATCTTTCGAGAAGATAAGATAACGAAAATTATTTGAATGAAATTTTGAAAAAATGTCAAGGTGAAAAAAAAGAATGTTAATTAATATCTGCTATAAACAAACTTCACGCACTGTGGATATTAATCGGTCAGAGTAATCGGGCTCATGAATCGTGCGTTGAAGTTTTCGGATGTGTTGTGCGAACACTGTGCGTAACGCGATGGAATTCCAAATTCGATGTTATCGAAAAATCGAAGTTTTATAGGCATTACTGTGCACTATTTATCGTCCTATCAGAGGGAATCGTTCGTTTTAGCTTTTCGACAGATATCACGGGGGACGGCAGTCCCCCAAGTGACGCAATACCAACATACATATGAAATATGTATATTTTGCGTCACTCTATATATACGTTAAAGAAATGAAAATCGATACCGCTGACTTTTGGAGAGGGGTTTTTGCATATTTTAGTAGTGCTTCGGCACCAAATTATTTGGCCGCCAGGTGGCATTTTGAAAAAATCGCTGAAAATTCATTTTTCTCGATTTTTGACCACCGAAATGATTTTTTCGATTTTTTTTGGTCATATTCGGAATCTAGGGACTGCGTAGATAATGTTAAAAAAATATCATCACGATCGGTTGAAAATTGGCCGAGATATGGCCAGTTGGCCAAAAATGGCCATAAACCTCAAATTGGCCGGTTGAAGTGTTTGTGTGTCTGTCCATACCTTCTTTTAAATTGTGTGAAATTATTTTTTTTCGAAAGTAACAGAGTAATGCGCTTTATGTCTTATATGAAAACGTCACACGAATCTCCCCTGAAAACGACATCTTTGGTCTTGCAGCAGAAGCTGTTTCTATGCTGAAAATTTCATTTCAGTTTAAAAAATTTAAAATATTTTTCATGTAGAATTGTACAAATATTTCAAAACGTTGAAATGAGATTTACAGAAATATGCATTTGAAAATTGTTTTAAAAAATAAACACGGCACAGTCAATTTCAAAAATTTCAATGAATAATATTGTTGACATATTTTCACGATGACAGCTATTTTTGCGGTACAAAATTGACCCGTTTGAATGATTTGTCAATATTGAACATACTCTACACACACGGGGAAACAGAGATGGCGTTGTCGTAGCATGTAGAAAAATATATGCTTAACACAATATTCGGCTTTTCGAAATTACACTGAAAACTGAGCAAACTAATTTCTCAGTTTCAAAAAGTTTGTTGCGTAAGTGGTTTTGGTCTGGGGTCGAATATTTTTGGGAGGACGTTTTTGAGTTTTTCATCGATCGGACATTTTTCTGGCCATCTGTAAGGTACCACAATGATTTATACGTCGTTGGAAAGGTAAAAGACTCACCTTTCCGGATCCGAAGTCAGAATGGAAAAATTTCAAAAATGTCCGCCAGGTGGCGTGTTATGTGACATTTTCGGCGAAAAATTACCATGACTTTTTTCACGTGATCCAAATTTAAAAAAAAATGTGTCTATGAAAAAAATCAAAAAGCTAGGCGTTTGTTAGGGACCAAATATGTGATGATTTGGCGTATGTGTCATATCTGGGAAAATTCGAATTTTTAAAAAAATTCATTCCGAATTATAAAAAAAATTTCAGCTATTTTTCAATTTTTTGGCCATTTTTGACAAAAGGTATACGGGGTGTTTTTCAACAGAATCACGTCATTCTTGGCTTATTGGAAAGACATTAAGGTCATCCTAATGAAGCAATAAAGAAATTTTGAAAAAAAAAAAAAAAAAATCAGCGGAAAAGGTTAGATCAAAATTTTTGAGGCGACGCAATATTAACATTTTGTATGTATATGAACTAACGCGTCACTGAAAATTTATATCAGAACATTTTCAGATTCACAGTATTGCGTCACAGTGGGAACTTCGAACGAAGTGTTTTGTACTTATATGGCAAACAATCATTCAATGCTTCGACCAAAATACTTATAAACGTGTGGTGGAAGCACATTTTGCAAAGCGTTTCGAGTATGCAATCAACTTGATTTCAATGGGCGTGCAATGGAATTTGATAACGAAGAATTCGAATATAATTTTGACGAATCGGGTCATGAAATTGATCGTTTTCGCTTCGATGAACAAATTAATCATACCGAAAATTGATGATTTTTTTTTAAATAAATGACCAAAATATCTTATTATTTATCTTAAAAAATAAAGATAAAATACCAAAAAAAGCCAAAAGATAAGATAAAAATAAGACGATTTTTTAAGTTTCTAAAATCATCTAGATAAGATAAAAGATAGTATCTATCTTATCTTATCTTACTATCTCAAACGAGATAAGATATCTTAACCAAACACTGGTTTTTTTGTAATTTTTATTAAAAATTTTCAGAGTTAAAATGTATTTGTGAACATAAATAAGTTTCAGTTCAGTATGCGCTCACCTGAGCGATCAGGAAAAGAGACAAGATTGCCTTAATCGACCTCATTTTTTCGAATCACTTTGTACAAAACTTGGCGAAAAATTGTTTGAAAGCTGGCCTGGTTTTTATATGAAATTTTGTTTCACGTAAATAGATCGAAAAATAGGACGACGCAATTTTTCTTCAATTTATCTCAAAAACAAATTTTGCATTGAGTTTATTTTATAAATGCTACATTCTGCATATCTATCGCTTGTTTATCATACATTTGCGTCATTTATTCCAACATTCGCAACTTGTTTTTGTCAATTTAAAACATTATTGTCATTACAGTTGTTTAAAAACAACATGTTTCGTTATAACAATCTTATAAATTACTTTTATTTTCAAGTTATTCGTATATTTCAATATATTATGAATTAATTAAGATTGAAATTAGACAAAGAAGTATGCATCTTTCATATTTTAATTATTACTACTTTCATGTTTCTAAAGATTTTGACCCTAGATAGGAAAGATTTGAGATAACTACTTCACTTCTGGTGAAACCAGGATTAAAAAGAAACTCCTCGAATCCCCCTTCAGAATTCAAGCATATTACACACCGTACAAAAAATATATATGGATATATTCAACTTGTGACGTTAATTAATCTCATTTTGATACATAATCGACGTGTTGACAGTGACCGGTTCGCGCATATTTCTATGCCTGATAGCTATGCTAAGCATAGCGGAGACGCAAGCCGCAACGCACCCGTC